AAAGGAGCTGAGTTGGTCGGTGCCACAAATGTGGTTATGTTGCAGGATCTTACTTGTTTCTTCACTGTACATGTTTGGTATACCATATAGCCTACCATGTGTTTTTTTCTGAACCACCCTCAAATGTATTTATTGTTATTTCTAGGTTTACATAAAAGATGTGATCTTCAATGTTGCCTATGAAGGCTACAACATGACGTTATCTTGCGTTACGTTTATGAAGTAGGCCTAACTGGATTTATACAGCTGCTGCTTTATTGCTTAATTTAAAATGAAGTATTTCCACGTGAGTATATGAATATTGGCTTTATCGACCTGTAGCACAACAATAAACATTAGGTTTATGAATTAAGTGGGTTTAAACCGCTGGTTTTTGTATTGGAAAGCAGTGAGATTGTAAAATGTTCCTCAGTGCATGGACAGTGTGGTCACAAGTTGATCTGGCTGCCTCCCAATTTGAAGACCTAGCTGGCGGTATGTTGTCGGATTTTTATTGGATCTGTCTGTGAAGTGATGTTGTCATAGTGGCGCATCACGTTAATTGTGCGTCCATAATTTATTTTCCCATAATGAAGCGGGTTCGAAACTCATGAAAATATTCTTTTTTACGTTTCACAGGGCTGAACGTTTCTTTAATATGGCACATATTTATTTAGGCAGGCACCTGAGATGAAACTGTGTAGGCCTATTTAGAAAATTTATTCGAGATAGGAGTTAGATTTACAGGAAAACAACTTGGCCTCTTCCTGTTTTCAACATTCCGTCATAACAAGTGTGATTCAAACCGTGACTGAGTGTCGGTCCGTGACTGGGTTCCTCCAACAAGAGTCCATAGACGGATCAGGTCTGCTATTTTTTGATATTGTCATGAAAAACTGAATAAAGAGGCCTTCGCGAGGACAGCTACGTGTTCTCTTCCTGGTTGAAAACAGCTGTTGTCACTACGACAACTATAGATGCATTCGGCTGAAGGTCGCCAGTTAACAGGATTGCAAGTAAATCCGAAACACCGGGCCATCGGCGATCTTCTGCAGCAAACATCTTGATTTCCGCCTCTCCTCAGTCCTGTACACTCGGAGAGTTGTTTCCGGTGGGCCTCTCGGCTGATAACGCTTTCTCTCAGCTGGTCTGCAACTACTACTAGCGTTGTGCTAACGCTAGCATCCTCCCGGCTTCATGAGGGAGTATTGTAAAACACTCCGCCTCGCAACTTCTCATGTTTACCAACTTCATCAAGCCGCCTCTATGCTTACCGGCCATTAAAAATTTCGGGCTGTTACGCAGTCGACCCAGTATATCCATAGAGGTTCCAAACGTGGGATTGTTTACTCCAGTTCAGCGCACTCCATTCCAACGGTGTGGTCGCGGCGACCTGTCGCCCACTTACGTCATCACAACAAACCACACGTGTGCACTGCCAAACTGAAGCCTTTGGTGTGTGTTGGTAACGTCTCTGCATCCACATCACCAGGCTCAGCACTGAATAATAATACACCCACATTCATGTTGTTAAACACCCGCTACCTTAACAATAAGGCACCACTTATTCATGACGTCATTACTGACCAGAATATAGACATTGTCTGCCTCACTGAAACATGACTATCTCACATTAAACCAAGCTACACCCCCTGGCATGGGCCGTGGAGGGGGTCTGGCGGTAATCCATTGTGCTGACATCCCAATAAAACAACTGCCTGTGACTAATACCACCTCATTTGAGAGTATTGCCTTCTCCCTGGCCGCTCACTCACAGCTCCAGGTTGTCCTCATTCACCGCCCCCCCACCTCAGCCTGCTCCCGCTCTTCATCCACACTCCTGCTCGGTGACTTCAACATCCATGTCGACTCCAGCACCTGCACCATTGCCACTGAGTTTCTGTCACTACTGGACCATTTCAACATCACACAATGTGATGCCCAAGGTCCCACCCACACTAAGGGTCACACACTGGACCTTGTATGCTCAGTTGGTACCACCCCCACCCAACTCCAGTGTCTGGACCTAGCAGTCGCTGACCATCTTGCCATCCTGTTCTCTGTCCCTGTTCCCCTGCCTTCTCAACACACCAAACGCATCATCACGTTCAGGAACATCAAGACAGTATGCACACCTGCTCTTAATGACATGGTTGCATCCAACCTTGCCCCCTACCCTCTAACACCCCTGTTGATAGCCTGTCTCCTACACCTGTCCTGCCCCTTGGTTCACTGCAGAACTCCGTACCATGAAAGCTGCTGGTCGCCGGCTGGAGAGACTCTCCAAAAGAACTGGCCTCACTGTCCACCTTGAGGCCTATAGGGATCATGTACAGACCTACAAGGAGGCTCTCACTCGGACGAGGAATCACTACTATTCAACCTTGATCAATGACAAACAGAACCAACCAAGGAAACTTTTCTTCACCATCAACCGCCTTCTTCCCCCCCCTTGACCACCCTCATCCTCCAGGTGCCCACAACCTCTGCTCTCAATTCCTGAATTCTTTTCAGGACAAAGTGGACTCAATCCACCAGCAGCTCCTAGCGCCTGTCTCCCCTGCACCACCTGCATCACCTACAACCCAAGCTCCTACCATCACTGCTCCTGCTGCACACCCCCCCACATGCTACTTCTCCGCCTCCTCCCCTGTGGATGCCATCCAGGTTACTAGGCTGATCTCCAAGGCCAAGCCCTCCACCTGCTCTCTGGACCCCATGCCCACAGCCCTTGTCAAAGCAGCCCTACCTATCATTTCCCCTATCATTGTTGACATTCTGAACTCCTCCCTCTTATCCGGCATCTCTCCAACCACTTTCAAAACTGCCTCAGTCATCCCCATTTTGAAAAAGCCTGGTCTTGACCCTACTGACCTCAGCAACTACTGGCTGATCTCCAACCTTCCCTTCCTCAGTAAGATCCTGGAAAGAGCAGTTGGTGATCAACTCCACCAGCATATGTCCAACCATGAGCTCTATGAACCCCTCCAGTCTGGCTACTGAAAGCACCACAGCACCGAGACCGCCCTCATCAAAATCACCAATGACCTCCTCATCGCCGCTTACTCTGGTTTGATCAGTATACTCATATTCCTCGACCTCTCTGCAGCCTTTGACACCGTCTCCCACCCCATCCTTCTCACCTGCCTGGCAAAATACTTTGGCCTCACTGACTCCGCCCTCTCCTTCTTTCGCTAAACAATTTGTTACCCATGCTGGTTCCTCCTCCTCCCGCCTCCGTCAATCACAGTGTCCCCCGAGGCTCAGTACTTGGCCCCCTTCTGTTCAACATTTACATGCTCCCAAAATCTCAGCTTTAATTCATATGCCAACGACACCCAGCTCTACATCAGTACAAAACCTTCTACCCATCTGCCCCCTCAGTCTCTCATCAATTGCGTCCTCGAAATAAAATCCTGGTTGACATCTAATCTACTCAAACGCAACAGCAACAAGACAGAGCTCATGGCTGTGGCCCCCAAGGCTCTGCTTGGGAAGGTTGGGGATCTAATCCTAACCATTGACAGTGCCACCATCTTACCATCTGCTGAGGTACGCAACCTGGGAGTGATCCTCGACTCCACCCTCTCATTTCAGACCCACATAAAATCTGTCACCAAATCTGCTTTCCACCACCTGAAAAACATCTCCAGACTCTGGCCATCACTCGCCCCCACCCTCTGGAACTCTCTCCCCCCTGTAATCCGCAACGCCCCTTCACTGGACATTTTCAAATTCACCCTCAAAACTCATCTGTTCACCATGGTTTTTTAATTCAATAATCCATCTCATGCCCAGTGTACCATCACACTGCTTTCTTCTGTTGTTTGTTATAGTTTTGTTGCTTTTCTGTACTGTTTGTGTTGTATTGTACTGTCCTTTTGGTGTTATTGTTTCATTACTATGTATTGTAAAGTGACCTTGGGTTTCTTGAAAGTTATTATTATTATTATTATTATTATTATTTCAGCTTAGGGCAATTTGAGTCACGGCGGAGGACAGCAAATAAAAATGATAAATTGGCACCAAAACAGCAGTACTATAATTAACTGTTCAAGGTAGTGGTAGACCAGCAGCTCCTGTGTTCAGTAAATCACTGTATCCATGTTGGTACAGAGCATGCTTCTCCAAAATTGGATGTGCCAACTTCACATCTGCTGTATGTAATATATACCATCTATGGATAAGTACCCCATACAGCCCCACTTCAAAAATCTTAGAACCATTCCTTTAAAACAAAAACAAGAAAACAAAGAAGTCCAACAACAGTCCTTTCTACATAGCCTGCACACTAATGTATGCACAAGCATGTAGCATTTCACAAATAGGAGCCAATCAATGTCCCCTCTCCATGCTTATCTCCTTACAGACAGGTCAGTCACTCTTGTGTCATATTAACAATTCAATTCCCAGATCCCTGCTTCAACACAAAGAACAGCACAGATGAAAGCACAAAAGCTCTGGCTTTTAAATGTAACTCATTATGAATGCAAGCATCTTGCCTGATTATGTGAGGCACGGACACAGTGGAATACAGAAATAGCACTGAACACTTGATTTCCTTCATTCTTCTTCTGGCTAAATGCCATTGAGCATGCACAATGCCACTATCCCTGTTTTGGACATACTTGGCATACATGCTTGTAAATGCATAATGCTCCACACTGTGTTAATGTTCTCTGCAATAATCTTGTCATTCAAAGTGCCTCCAGAACATTTACATCCATCCTATTATCCTAATTAATTAGTCCAATAACAACAGGGTCAGTTTACTTTCCTGCGAACAATTATGTTGTAATGATGATCTGGAAACAGGTAATGATGGGTAATAAGTGAAGCGAGAAATCCACCAGGGGTCAAACAATGTCAAAGACGGGGTGATAAACAGAGAGGGGTGAGGGGAAGAGACATGCAGCCAGAAGGTCGGTGATGTAGGAGCCACAGGAATTGTGATACATTCAAGAGGAAAGTGGGAATAAAGTAGTAAATTCGTCTATAGCTTTACAGAACAAACAAGTTACCTGAGGAGGAGATGAGTTTCCAGCTGATGGAGGGATCTGGTTTACCACTTGCTTGGCACATCAGGGTGACATTGGAGCCTTCATTTACCACAATATCTCTTGACAGGTTGATGATTTTCGGTGGTACTGTGGAAGCAAATGAAAAATGTGTACATTTATAAAAGGATGAAGGAGAAAATGGTGAACTCTGCCAAGTTTACACATCAAGTTTGTATTTTTTGTATCTTTGGCAGTTGTTTTTATTTTAATCTGTCTCTTCCAAGTCTCCCTTACTTCAAGGAAGTCTATATAAATTGTTGGGGTAAGTTTGCAAACTCAGCTCGTTCTCATTTCCAGGGTGACAAATACGGCAGCTTGGTCAGTGGTCCTCATCTGATATCAACACACAATGCACACTTTTTTTTTTTTTTAAAGATATTTTTGGGGGGCATTTTTAGCCTTTGTTTGATAGGACAGACAAGCGTGAAAGGGGGAGAGAGAGAGAGGGAGAGACATGCAGCAAAGGGCCACACGCTGGAGTCAAACCCGGGCCACTGCGGCAACAGCCTTGTACATGGTGCGCCTGCTCTACCAATAAGCCACAACGCCCCACAATGCACCCTTTTAGTGTCTGCCAGTGCACTGGTCTTTTCACTAACTAATGTAAATCCATCTGTTGCCATGACATAGTATAAAGAGCAAGAAAGAATGGGAAGGGTGGTGCATGGGTCAAACAAAAAAAAGGACTTTCACCCAGGAGACCGCTGTTTGTCTCCCAGGTGACAATGAAAGTCAACATTGAGGATATTTTTTCTTCCTTCAGTTGAACTGTTTACTATAAAGTAACATAATTAAATTAAAACTTTCTTCTTTTCTTTTTTTTTTGAACACTTTGTGATGTTTGAACATGTCCTCCAATAACATGACATCATCAGTCAGCCTATAGCTCTCTTTCTTTCTCTCCTCTTCCTACTTAATCCTACTCTGTCTTGGCCTCTTTCATAAGACTATCTGGCTCTGTCAGTTATTTAGAAACAGAATTCCAAAATATATTTTTCAATCAGTCAAACCATAATAAATAAAACAACAGGAATATTTAACAATAAAAATAACACACCCAAATGAAAACTTTTCTTTTTTTGGGACATTAGAACATGAACATGTCCTGGAAATAACACGTAGCATCAGTATGTCTCTCTCTCTCTCTCTCGCTCTCACTCTCGCTCTCTCTCTCTCTCTCTCTCTCTCTCTCTCTCTCTCTCTCCTTCTTAATACTGTTTTTTGTCTCTCAGCTCTTTTCTTGGCCCTTGCTGTGTTTATTTCTCTAGTGTCCACTGCAAATCCACTAAATATATACAGTCTATGGGCAAGACACCTGAGAGATGCGTTGAGAAGTGCAATGTAGCCAATCAGAGGCAAAGTAGGGCGGGTCTTACCAAGAAAACGCAATGCCAACACAAAGCAGCAGGCAGAATAAACTGAAGTATTACTATGTGATGCCATACGGAAGTTCTTCCCTCATCTACGTGCCTTGGTGTTAAGCATTTGACTAAAAAAATCTGTTGAAGTTCATATAAGTCCACATATTTAAATCTCAGTCATGATAATGTCCTGTAAAAATATTTCCCTCTGAGACTATGTAGGCCTAACTCCATGTCCTAACAGCAAGCATCTCTCTGTCCACGCTGAATCCATTAAAAATGCAATTCTGCAATGTCATGTAAAAAAACCACTCAGGATATCAGCTGTGCACTCGAGATCATACTTAAGATGTAACCACTTAAAAGTTCAAGTACTTGTGGTCTTCTTATGCTTGTACTTTTTAAATAGAAAACATACATTTTATATTGTGATATTTACTGTTGGATAAAATAAAAACCCAACTACATCGTCTAATAGTACTCCATCTCCCTTCTGTAGCTGCCCTATCCTAAAATCCAGCAGCAAACATGGGGGAAGTGGCAGCTGCGTGACAACTTAAACTGATGCTAAACCAATCCATTGCACATCCATCCATGATCACCTATTTTACACTACCAAAATAAATTCACATGAATGGGGTAAAATTATAAGGAAAAGTTAAAGAAAAGTTTTTTAAATTCATTGAAGAAAATGTGTGGGAACCCCGTCACTACAGCTCACGTCATGATCCCAGTCTCTATCTGAACCCAAACCATGATGTGTTTTGTAAACCTACTCACGTAATTTTATTGCCTAAACCTAAAGCCAAAAAATATCATGCTTGTTTAGATGTTCCTTCACAAACGTCTGACACTGAACTCTGTGGTGAGGACACAGGAAAGGTTTTCTTCTGATGACTCTTACATTAAGGTCATATTTGTACAGGTGTCACTGCACAGTAGAACAGTGCACCACCACTCCAGAGTCTGATAGATCTTTCTGCAGGTCTTTTGCAGTCAGATGGGGGTTTTGATTTGCTTTTCTAACAATGCTACGAGCAGCTCTCTCATAAGTTTGCTTGTTGTTCCAGACCTCAACTTGACCTCCACAGTTCCTGTTAACTGTCATTTCTTTCTGCAACCTGAAAACACTCTGTTATCTTCTTATAGCCTCCTCCTGCTTTGTGGGCATCCGTTATTTTAGTTTTCAGAGTGCTAAGCAGCTGTTTAGAGGAGCCCATGGCTGCTGATTGTTTTTTATACTGTATATTTATAAACCCTAACAAGCTAATTATGGTCTGAGACCCTGGTAAAAGTTGCCTGAGAGCTTACCCAGCAAGCATTTTTTGGTTTAAAAAATGTCTAATAGCCGTCTACATGAAGACCTGACGTCTAGGCTAAATCATGGCTGAATTTGGGCTGTCAGTGAAATTTTGGTAGACGTCTAACCATAGCCAAAGTGAATTATCAATTATACGGCTATGTAGAGACCATGTCCAAAAAATGGAGATGAACATATTTTAATTACTGTTGACTCTCCATACGTGATTGAATATCATGCTGCACGCCATCTGCAATGGCGAAAATTACATTTAATCAATTTCAAAATTAAATCGGCTAGATTTGGGTTACATGTAGCTAGACTAAATCGGAGCTAAATATAGCCAGTACGTTTAAGTCACGACTGTTGGTTGCTGGGAAGTGTCTCGGGTTGCCCAAACTTTTGCATGGTGCTCCTTTCTTTTTTTCACTTTAAAATTGTACTAAACAATAAATAATGCACTAATTCTGCTTAAAATGTTGAAAAGCATGTTTCATCTTTAACTTCATGCCTTTTTGAGATCAGTTCATCCTCTACTTACTTTAATATTCCAAGTAAACTAAATTCGGACCAGGGATGCCCAAACTTGCATGCCTCTGTATATAATGACAGTGTCCAAAACCACTATCCTGCTTGCTGCTTTACAATTATTGTTTCATATTTTTAATTGTTTTAAAGCCAGAGGTTTGAACGTTTATTGTTGGTTGCATTTGTTGAAGCTGCTCTGTCAATATCTCTGTCTACATCAGCTGCCTTCCTGGAACTTTTCAGATAGGTAGAGAGGTAGCTCAAGGGATCCACAAGCTCTGAGAAAACATTTGCAGCTCAAGCTGGCATTCAGCTGCACATGTTAAAAGCTTCACGTCTATTTAAATGTGCAGACTCATTGATGAGTGCATGTGATGTGTAGAGGTGGAAGGATTCACATGTTTGTAGTGTAGTTCAAATTTGGTACAATGAGGGAAAAAAGTGTCAGTCACATTTAATGTATGAGACAATCCCCATTCCTTTTCCCACTGACAAATGCAAAACAGTTTCTAATGAATAATGCAAGCACTCCACCAGAGCAGTTGTGTTGGAACATAAAGATATGAATTATACCCTACAACAAAACAGATTTATTTTAAACAGCATAAAGTCAATATCCTCTTTGCAGCACATAAATCAATAAAAGGAAATTATGTTTATATGAAAATGGAATCATCTTTGAATCATGTTTAATTCCCTCTGCTTTGTCACACAGTTTTTAATTCCCTACAGACAAGTAAAGCTTTTTGTTACTGAGCTTTGAATAACAACAAGCAGAGAGAGTGTGTTCCTTCTGCCTTACTCCACTGAAAGTCCATTAAACTGGTTAGCCAGGAGTCCTCATCATTCACAACTGTATACTAAAAAGCCAGGGCCTTACACAGACTTTCTAGGGGGCTGGGGTGAAAAAATGGGCAACTCTACCACATGTACACACATGGCATGCTCTCCCTCTTCATAGCTGAATACTGCACATCATATACAAATAGTATTAATTACATTTTCATTATATATTATGGGAGAGAATGAGGTTGGAACAGTGCCTTTTTAGCAAGTTAGAAAGCAACTAAGCCTATGCCATTCATTATGCTCATACTCAGCCACATTGTCTTCACTTTCAACCTCAAAAAAGGAGACCTTCTGACTATTCTTCACATTTTACTCACTGTTTTAAAATCTTTCATGATTTTTCTTCTACCATGCTCTCTCTTTTATTATTTTTCTTCTACCATTGTCCTAAGTTTTCCTTGTAAACCTGGGACAGAGACAGTTAGGACAGTTACCCAGGGACAGTATTATTTGCAATTCCTACTTGTTACAGATTAACAAAAAGTAGGCAAAAACAAGACAAAGTATTTTCCTTATTGAATCAAACTCACCGTGAAGTCACTGAGTTAATGTGAGTTAATGAGCATATTTTGAATGTGCAGAGTTTAACTTTTTAAACCTCATTTTAACTCAGATCGTGTTGATATTTATTATTATCATAAGTAATAATATCAATAATAATAATAACCATCATAATAATAACAGTAATAATAATAATAATTATAATTATAATTATAGTAGTAGTAGTTGTTGTTGTTGTTGTTTAGTATGCTCATATTGTAATATAGTTTATATCCTGTACTATATTCTGAGCTATATTGCTCTACCAAAGTACATTATGCTACTGTATCACTACATTTCACCTTATACATTTTGCTCTACATCTCACACTGTATTATACTGTACTTGAGCTTGGCCCTCTGCTGGGTTCTTCTGCTTGTCTGTTTCTGTGCTTTCTCTTTCTTCATTGAGTGTAATCAGCGGCACACATGAGCCAGAGCAGCAGCTGTGGGCAGATCTTTGCATTTAGGCTTTTAGATCTATTGTCATTTCTACAGCACAACACCCAT